ATACGCAGGCGGCTATTCTGAGCCTGTGTTGTGATAATTGGGCCTATACATTTACCCTTATTGTGAACTCAATGTAAAAAGGGAATGAAAGTTCATGAAATGTTATAGGTTATTGTGACAGCAAATGTTGAGAGGGGAAACGTGCAAAAAGGAAGACAGATTGAATTAGTTCAAATAAAGGCCCACTGACGTAACTCAGGGACTGTGTGAAAATCATGCCTGGTAAACAGGAAAAGTGTGGGACTGGAAATTAATGAACCAAAATTGGTGTGTTGGAAATTAGCCCTAATTGGTGGACAAAACAATGAGGGGATGGGTTATTTCACCCATCACTCCCTTTTGGGGTCCTTAAAAAGAAACTTTAGGGGGAAAAACTAGCTACCATAATGTTGGCTGACTAAAAGACAAGAGAGAGGGAAGGAGTGAGTTTCACCATCATGCTGCCACCCCCACGATCTCCTGGGATCCTAGAATCCAGTGTGACCCCACTGTGCCTTTTTTGTCTTAATCCTGAGAGACATCCTGCCAGATCGGGCCAGAGAGATTGAGACCCAAATGACACTGGCTTCAGCTAAATCCCGAATACCACCTGGGCTGTGAGACTCTGTCTTCCCCCTTTCCTCCCTTATTTCCTATTTCTTCTCTTGCCTAGCTCTCTCCTTTTTCCTTCTGTCTAATAAGTGTCTGGCTTACTCGACCAAGACTGCATATTTTGCAAAACTGCTATAAGCATGTGACCAGAAAGGCAGTTAAATGAACTGCCCTAAACAGCCTGATGCTGGTACAAGTTTGCTAGGTCTGGGAGTGGTTGATTTAGACCGTATGCTCTGCCTGTTTTTCCAGCAGCGAGGTTGCAAATGACAGTCAACACCAGAGACAGAAGCTGCACTTTCTATCTTTGCTGTTTTTATTCTTTCCCTTTTGTGTGTGTTTATCTTTTGTCTTGTCCTCTAGGAGATTGGATTGGACTCTTGGACTGCAACAACGATCACTCCAGCCCATCTCCACTAACTTCTCCGTTCCCCAAAAGGATGGTTATTACCATCTTTAATACCATTTAAGAGACTGTCAAACAAGGGAGATGCTTTTAAAAAACCTCTCTACAGCTAACGGGAAATGGAACAAGGAATTTTGTTAAAGTAAAAGCCTTATTTAATACTTCACATTTCAAATGCCTTAACTGTTTTTCCTTTTTTAACCTTTAATAAAAAGTTAAGAAGATTATTAAAACTGTTTGCCATGGTACTAAGCAGGCTGAGGTCCCCGTATACCAAATCCCAAACCTTGCTTAAAACTGTTTTAATGTTGGACAGTTTCAGGGTCTTATTAACAACACCTTTGACTCTTTGGGTGCATCTATTCCATCTATCTTAATACAACAGCTCCCACCCATGCTGCCATGGCCACACAGCTATTTTTAGTTCATCAGCTTGAGCAAAGTTAGTGCATGTCTATCTCCTTGGGCTGGGAAGCACGCTCCCAGCTGCTGTGGAGAGGTATCCTCAGAGACAGAGGGAGAATGCTGCAAGCAGTGTAGTCTTCTCCCAACTCAGAGATGGGGAATTAGCCAGACTCACCTGAACTACCGATAGAGAGTCTAAGTGTAGGTAAGGGAATGTGCCTGTAGGTCTCTTTAGTTTAAATCCACTTCTCTAAGCACAACATGCCTTACGGGCGCCGTAAATCCTGCTTGGTTTTGAAGAAGCTATTTCTGACTCATTGCAAATGTGTGCTGACACAGGCTCCTAGAGAAACCCTGGCAAAGTCTAGCCCAGTTGGACCCTGTGAATTAGTCACAGTTGGTACCCAAGGGGGTGTAACTCACAGACCCAAGCGGGGAGTGGTTGGATCAGGCAGTTCCACCCCATAAAGAAGCGGAGGCCTGGGCCTGGCACGTGAAAGCGGTGCACTTGCGGGACTGGAGGAGGGTCTCAGCCAGGGCAGTTTGGCCAGGAACTGTGAGAGTAATATATAAGGGTTGCAGTTTACAAGTGAAGGTTTTCTTTGTAAAGAGTATTCTGTTCTATTTGTGACAGTGTAATGTTATTTGTATTTGCTTTAATATACAACTGGCCAAATTCTGCTCTCAGAGAAGCACAGGCAACTCCAGTGTCATTGCTAATACAGTGTATGTATGATACTCTGACTTACTTAGGCACTTAAGTGACTTTTGAAAATGCAGTGTAGTTGTAGCTGTGTTGGTCCCATCATATTAGAGAGACAAGGTGGGTGAGGTGATATATTTTATTGGATCAACTTCTGTTGGTGAGAGAGAGCTTGTCTCTCTCACCATCAGAAGTTGGACCAGTAAAAGGTGTTACTTCATCCACCTTTGTGACTTCTTCTGAAAATGGGATGAGGAATGAACTGCAATAGAAGCCATTAGGGCTACATAAGTAGATAAATAGAATCATAGGGGTGTATGTCTGGACTGGACCTTGAAAGGGCATCTAGTCCAGCTTCCTGTGCTGAGGGTAGGACCAAGTAAACCTAGACCATTCCTAGCAGATACTGACATTTCCTATCTCATTAGACAGGGTCACATTGAGACATCTTGACAAAGCAGCATGGGGAGCGGGCATGGTTACTGCCTGTTCCATGGATACTTTCATCTCTGAGTCTGTCAATCAGGCACCATATACCAGCCACAAGTTAAAAAGAGAAACAGAAAGATAAGGCTTTAGAGAGAGCAAGTTGAGGAGAATCTGTCACTTTTGAATTAATCTGGGAAGGCTGAAAGAATTGGGTTTGTTTAGTTTGGAAAAGAGAAGACTGAGAGGGGACATGATAGCAGTTTTCAGGTATCTAAAAGGGTGTCATAAGGAGGAGGGAGAAAACTTGTTCACCTTAGCCTCTGAGGATAGAACAAGAAGCAATGGGCTTAAACTGCAGCAAGGGAGGTCTAGGTTGGACATTAGGAAAAAGTTCCTAACTGTCAGGGTGGTTAAACACTGGAATAAATTGCCTAGGGAGGTTGTGGAATCTCCATCTCTGGAGATATTTAAGAGTAGGTTAGATAAATGTCTATCAGGGATGGTCTAGACAGTATTTGGTCCTGCCATGCGGGCAGGGGACTGGACTCGATGACCTCTCGAGGTCCCTTCCAGTCCTAGAATCTATGAATCTATGAATCAAGGAGGTGTTTATCTCTTTCCATCTTTTTCCATACCAAGGGGGTGTGATATGGATTTGTGGTTCTGATACTGCATAATCAATTCTCTCCTCTCTGCTGTGCTTTGTCAAGGATGGCTTTGTTCATTTGCAGTCTTTGTTCATTCTTTCCTTCCTATTTTGCTTGTCTCTCTAGATTCTTATCTGGATGTTAAAAACATTTTTGTAGATTCAGGGAGATTGTACCTCCTTTTGGAAAGAAGTGAGTGACACAACAAGATGATGATGATAAAATAGCCATTTGCAATGCGTTTGTTCACTCCAGTAACATTAAACTGTTGCCTGGAATAGACACACTGTTCTCTAGCCGCTTGAGGAACTTGTGGTTGGGTTTTCAAAAGCATCTAAAGGGCAGGTTTTTAAAGGCACCTAAATGCCTTCAAAAATCTGCTCCTGAGTGACTTGGGAATACAAGTCCCATTGAAAATCAGTGGAGATTGAAAGTCCAATGGACTTGTGTTCCTAAGACTCTTGGGTGCTTTTGAAAATCCTACTGTTAAGATTGAGATTCCATGTGAAACTCTGTGTTCAGATTCACAGGGCCCATAGTAGGTTAACTAACCATGTTACCCAAATTCCTCCGAAAGCATACTGTGACTGAAAGAGAACAGCCTGTTTTATGGCAGTGTGTACTGTTTAAACCCAATTGCTAACAAATGGAAGGTCTACTAGCATATAATGCAATGAGTAGCAAAATACAGTAAGTGGGCCTGGGATGTGATGTACCTAATTCTTCCACCTGGTTATCTTTCCTGGTTAGTTTAGGGGGGAGGCAATTTTTACTTTATACAGAACTTGAAAATAGACACACACACACACACACCTATCGATCAATCGATTGATTGGAATGTCCCTGGGTACTTGAATTTTGCTACTGTATATGGGTTCATTAGTGTAGCTCTTTCCGGCTCTGGTATTATCAAGCCTTTTAGCAGAGCATTACCAAGTTCTTGTTTTTTGTTTGGTTTTTCTAAATTTTTGGTGTGAATTTAGTGGTACTGAAGAGTGGCATGCTGATGGCCCCGGAGGTTGGAGTCATCTATGCACAGCCTGGGTACATCATGGCAGTAGTAGTAGTAGTAGTAGTAGTGAAAGTTGTGTGCCACAGTTCCCTGCCAACGTGTCTACCCCCTGACTTGGAGGCACCTCTTCTCGGGGAAGAGAGAATGTCAATCTCAGTGGCCCACTCAGGGGCTTTCTGCTGAAATTCCCAACAAGGGTGCCAATTATGGTAGTAGTTTGGTCATGTGAACACCTCACCTAGTTTGCTGGCCTCAGTCCCGCTTACTGATTTCATATATAGGCTACTCAACAGCATTAAGTAGTGCGAATTGTGTCCCCACCAATCCCCTGAGCCACTTCATCCCGTTTAAGTAACAGGAGGAGGGGGGAAAGGAGAGGTGAAGTAGGTAACTTCTTTGTTCCTTACACCACCCTGATCCAACTCCAGTTTATTTTATTATAAATTCATCTGACATGGACCTCCATTGAGCTATTGGGAGACTTGTAACTGGGTACTAGGTTCCTAAATTAAACAAATTGTTGGTCAAGAATTGGGTTAATATAAATAATTTCCCTCTTGGTTACTTGTTTATCAGTTCTTCTGTCTGTTCAGCATCTGACCTTCAAAGATAGCATTGCTCTTTGTGATTTATATTTAAAGTCTCTCTACCACTGGTGAATACCTTTTTGTCTAAGTGGTGGAGAGACAACTCATGTATTTCTACTTCAGCTCCTCAGCAGTGAGGTATTAAAGTGTGTATATGAGAACATCACATCTTTTTGCCTCTGTCTCATGCTTCCCCCCATTTCTGTTTTGTTCCTTTCAGATACTTGGCGTTTTCAGAAGACTGTTGCATCTACACAGTGGAAGTCAAATTTTGTGTATGGCGTGGTTAAGGTTGCAGCCTCTCACCTCAGCCTTCCTCCACTTTGGGCTGGTTACCTTTGTGCTGTTTTTGCATGGTTTGCAGGTGGACGCTGGCATAACGGGAGAGTCTCTAAGTACAGGACAAAACAGTTCGTGCTCAGGATCTTCCGATTGCAAGGAGGGTGTTATCTTGCCAATATGGTATCCAGAAAACCCATCCCTTGGGGACAAAATTGCCAGAGTTATTGTTTATTTTGTGGCACTTATCTACATGTTCCTCGGAGTCTCCATCATTGCAGATCGTTTCATGGCATCGATAGAGGTCATTACATCACAAGAAAAAGAGATTACAATCAAGAAACCAAATGGGGAGACCACCACGACTACCATTCGGGTTTGGAATGAAACTGTTTCCAACCTGACCCTGATGGCTCTAGGTTCTTCTGCTCCTGAGATTCTTCTGTCATTGATAGAGGTATGTGGCCATGGATTCATAGCCGGAGACCTGGGGCCCTCTACCATTGTTGGCAGTGCGGCTTTCAACATGTTTATCATCATAGCCATCTGCGTTTATGTGATCCCGGATGGGGAAACCAGAAAGATAAAACACCTGAGGGTGTTCTTTGTCACATCTGCATGGAGCATCTTTGCTTATATCTGGTTGTACATGATCCTTGCCGTCTTCTCTCCAGGTGTGGTGCAGGTCTGGGAAGGCTTGCTCACGCTGTTCTTCTTCCCTCTTTGTGTCCTCCTGGCTTGGGTGGCAGATAGAAGGCTGCTCTTCTATAAGTACATGCACAAAAAGTATCGTACTGACAAGAACAGAGGCATTATCATTGAGACAGAAGGTGAACACCCTAAGGGAATAGAAATGGATGGCAAGATGATGAACTCCCACTTTCTGGATGGAAATTTAGTAACTATGGACGGGAAAGAGGTAGATGAATCTCGCAAAGAGATGATCCGGATCCTTAAGGATCTGAAGCAAAAGCATCCAGAAAAGGACTTGGATCAGCTGGTAGAGATGGCCAACTACTATGCCTTATCTCACCAGCAAAAGAGCAGAGCTTTTTACCGCATCCAAGCTACCAGAATGATGACTGGAGCTGGCAACATTCTGAAAAAGCATGCGTCCGAGCAAGCCAAGAAAAGCACCAGCTTGCATGAGGTGCAGGCAGATGAACCTGAGGAATTCATCTCCAAAGTTTATTTCGATCCTTGCTCCTACCAATGTCTTGAGAACTGTGGTGCTGTCCTCCTGACGGTGGTGCGGAAAGGGGGCGACATGTCCAAGACCCTCTATGTGGACTACAAAACGGAGGATGGCTCTGCCAATGCTGGTGCTGACTACGAGTTCACAGAGGGAACTGTGGTCTTGAAGTCAGGGGAGACCCAGAAGGAGTTCTCTGTGGGGATCATTGATGATGACATCTTTGAGGAAGATGAGCATTTCTTCGTGCGGCTTAGTAACCTCCGCGTGGTTGAGACTGAGGGACCTGCCGAGCTCAACAATTTGCCATACCCAAAGGCCATACTGACTTCTCCTTGCGTGGCCACAGTGACTATCTTGGATGATGACCACGCGGGCATCTTCACATTTGAGTGTGATGTGATGCATGTCAGTGAGAGCATTGGCGTGATGGAAGTCAAAGTCCTTAGGACATCAGGTGCTCGAGGTACAGTCATAGTCCCATTTAGGACAGTAGAAGGGACAGCAAAAGGAGGTGGAGAGGATTTTGAAGATGCTTATGGGGAGCTGGAGTTCAAGAACGATGAAACGGTGTAAGTACCCCTTAATTTCTTTTACCTGTCCTAGTTACTGTGGTTAACTCCAAGTTTGCCTCCATCACAGGTGAATGCAGACAACAGATAATGGGCTACTTTCTCCAGCTCTCCTTCAATTTCCATACTTACCTCTTCCAGGCAAGAACCCTACAGCAGGATCCAAGAGGGTAATACCTCTTGTCCCTTTCCTCCCAGGAATTACAAAATGGGGCTTGGAAATCTCATTAATGAGAAGACCTATAGTCCTCAGAATCATCGACTCAAACCAGTGAGTGGGACTTGGAGACTGTACTTAGACATTTTCACAATCCTTTAATTTTGAAGATAGCCGGTATGATCGTGAGTAGAAGACAAAAGGCATGTTGAGGCCCAATCTTTCAGACCTTAATTAAATTAATAGTCCCATTTACTCACTGCCAACATAAATGGCCAGATTTTCAATAGTCGCTGAATAAGGTGGGATTTTCAAAAAGGCTCAGCACTGGCCAAACGCTGCTCCTGTTAACTTCAGTGGGAGCAGAGAGAGAGAGAGAGCAGCTACGAGCACTTTTGAAAATCCCACCCAGAAGAGCTAAGGGAACATTGAGAACAATGAGAACTGTTGGGAGCTCTGAGCTCTTTTGAAAATCTGGGCCTAGGGGATGTGAGCAATAGCTGCAGGATCAGGCCCTTGGTCGCTAAACTGAACCTCTGTTGTATAGATATTTCTTCCCTTAATCCCCTCTCCCTATCTTTTTTTATTTCCCTCAACAGACAGCAAATTAAGGGTTGAATTTCCCCATGCAATAGAAGTGTTAGTTATGAGTAAAGACAGAGGGGAGAGGAAAAAAATCCTCTACATAGGTTTTTAATGGACTCTTGAGTATGCTAATTTGGGATATTAAAAGGCCTTTTGTAGGTTTGGTTTTCAATCAAATCAGCCACCTCCAGGTAAATATAAGCCACTTAGCTAACAAGGGCTCTTCCCCTCCCTCGAACTACATATGTACATGGTCTGCCTGTGCCTCTTGTACATCCAGGTGATTCATGTGGTAGCTGAATCCACAAAATCGGCAGCAAAGCACACCCTCTTGCTGGCTTGTGTAATAAGCAATAATTCCAGTCTGTGTGCCCCTGCAGCCTCTGCCTAGAGCTGCTTGAGCTAGGCAATACTCTACCCACAGGCCTTTCTTTACATGGATCTTAGCATAGGCATTAGGGGGTGGGCTAAATTTTCGGCTTTTGAGTAGCCTTCTGTGTGATCATCTCTGAGTAAGCTGGTCTTCCCTTTGAGTTTATTTACTAGTGGTTTTCCCCTTAAAAATACTGCAGTATTCTACAGTAATGCTCCAAAAAGCTGCAACTCAGTGCTTCCCTGCGGCTCCATGACCTAGTGTTTTCATACAAAACAAGACACAAGCACTCCTCCAGCCTGGGGAGGGAAAGGATTGCATGGCCTCTAACAGTGTGAACCAGCCCTGTTAATTCAGCTCTTTCATTATGAACAAACGTAACTGATGCAAGAGTAGTGAGTAATAAAGACTAGAGACATAATAATGTCTAACTGCTTTAACTACCTTCCATTAACATTAGTGGAGGATGAGGAAAAATCGCTTAGTAGAGGGAGGTGGTGTATGGACATGATGCTAACATTCCCTAATGCTGAGTGCTTAGGTGCCTCTTGTTAAAACCCAATCACTTGAGAAATCAAAGGAAGAATTGTGCTGACTTGCAACTGGCAGCAGAGAAAGGAAATTACTGTACCAAGTCATCTTCTACAATACACATGTAGACGCTGGTACACTGAGCTACAGAACAGGGATGCCTGAATTCTGACATCTTCCCATGGTCTGTGCCCACCTGTCATGTTTTTTTTTTAATTCAGTTGCTGTCCACAACCCTGGTATTTGATTGCACATGCATGTTCTCCCTTGATAGATGAACAGAAGTTGCTGGTTGGCTGAGATCACCAACAGTAAAAGTAGGCTTGGAAGGATTAGATTTGTGGTGGTAAATGTCAATTTCTTGACATGTGATATTGACGATTTGTGTTTCAATAGTTAGCCTTTTTTTTAATCTCAACATCTGCTGTCATTAAATAGTCTGATTGTCGTCCCGTTCTCCCCCCTCACCCCCAATTTCCTGCAACTGTGGAAAATTTACATTGATAACAATAGAAAAAATACTTAAAAATAAGCCTCAACATGAGATGTCAAAATTATGAAAATAGACACATTGAACTGTGCCAAGCCTGAATAAAAGATTGAAGGTGATTGGCTTTGTCCTCAACTTGTTGCTCCAGGGAGAAGGTGGCCATGGGTCACCGTGCCAAACTCTGCTACTACAACTGGTCCTCAGGCTGCACTTTCTGGACAAAGTAGACCAAAGTCTCATCTACTCAGTTAAAATCTGTTGTGCTAGGGGACCCACCTACAACATGGTTTAATTCTAATTGTGTGGGGCACAATGATGTTTTAAATGGGTTCTCCAATATGGTAGATGTTACTGGGGCAGTTGGAGCCTAACAGGCTGGATTATTGACAGAACTAATTTAAACACTGTAATATTCCAACCAGCCCCTCCTCTATTACTGAAGCTTTTTTAATTTACAAAGTAGGGCAGCATTTTAAGGTCCTGTTCATGCTACCACTAAACTGCTTTAAGCTAAACCATGTTCAGCAGAACTATGTTTGAGTCTGTTCTCCGAGATGGAGTCAAATGCACTAGCACATAACAAGTGCTGCCAGTTACAACTCTTCTCTCTGACACAGTCAAATCACAGTTCCATTTTTGGAATGTAGGTAGAACACACTCAAATGACACTAGGTTCCCATCTGTGCTTTAAAATGGAATTCTGTTGGGGGACAAATATATTGTAACTGAGCCACTTTACCCTTCAGAACTGATACTGGCTAGTCATGGGTGAACCTCAAAACATCTGAAGTTTGAGTTTGAACAAGCACCTGTAATTCCAGATGTTTATTTAAACATTAGACAAATCCTGACCTGGTGTAAGCCACTGAAATCAAAGGAGCTGCACTTGCTTACACCGTGCCTGCATTTAGCCTCCAAGCCTCTTGGAACTTTTGTGAGGGAAGACTTTGTAGTGAGATTCCTGTTTCCCACTGGCCAGGAAGTGCAGTGAGCACAGCTTTTTGCTGCCATTCTGTAAGAGTTTGACTCAGATTCAGTTGGAAATAGCAAGTGCAGAGACATGAATGGTTGTGTCTTTCCTGAAGGGAAAAAATACTTTTGGGCAGATGTTTGGGGTAGAAAGCGGCCAATGTGGAGAATTCAGATCTACGTTTGACCTTTTGTAAAGATCAGCGTTTCTCAGATCCCAGGTTTTGGTATGGGCTCATCTCTAGTTTAGGGAGGTGTATGATTATTTTATCTGAAACACTTCACTCATCCTAAATGTTAAAGTGCAGTGGAGGTGGGGTGATGTGTTTATCACTACAAAGTTGTATGAAAACACTGGGTCAATAAACTATCTTTCTTCACACACTATGGTTTCATTACCTGATTCCCCGCCTTCTCCCATCACCCCTTCATTCTCTTTGCAGTACCATTGTTAAAGGGGTCTTTTGCTCATAGGTGGGAAGAGCGAAAACACACACATGCCTCATTTCTGCAAACATTTAGGGTATATGTACACTGCAATAAAATACCCGTGGCTGGCCCATGTCAGCTGACTCAGGCTCACAGGGCTTGGTCTGTGGGGCTGTTAAATTGCAGGGTCGAGCCCAGACTCTGGGACCCTGTGAGGGGAGAGGGCTCCAGCCCCAAAGTCTACACGGCAATATTATAGCCTCATAGCCTGAGTCCCATGAGCCTGAGTCAGCTGACACAGGCCAGACAAGGGTCTTTTATTGCAGTGTAGACATATCTATAAGCATGTGCTTAACTTGACTATCATGAGTAGTTCCATTGGGACTACACAAGGTAGACAAGTTAAGTATGTGTGTAAGTGTTTGTGGAAGTGGGGCTAAAGAGATTTCCAGGCCCTCTGACTATGTAGATTGATGTAACTTACATGCAAAGGAGGAGGGTGAGAGCTTCAATTTACGTCTTCTTCTGGCTCTTGGTGGGTAAGTTCCTGATTTAGATTCCATTATATGTTGGCAGAGTGGATGTAAGCAGCTCTAAGGGAGTTTAACTGCATGTAAAAGTGTCTACATTAATGTGAGGGGCTCCAAATTCCACATCACTTCTGTATTGAATCACACTGTTTTCTACAAAATTCTTAGAGCCAACGGCTGGACATGATTCCCCAAATGTTTTCCCTTGTCCCACTCTTTTTGAGGGAATTTCACTTCAATTTAAAAAGATAAAATAAAACATCATTGCTTTAAATAAAAAAAAAAAAGTGGATGTCCCCAAGGAATAAGGGATTAAAAATAGCTGAGCTGATGCATAAAATAAAGTGTGAGAGGGAGATGGATCCTGCCACAGGGTCTTGCTTATTGCTTCTGTGATTCTCTCAAAGCTGGTATGGTCAAAGTTTCCTTGCCTATATATTGGGTGGGAGCGGGGAGCAAGCTGACTTCTCTTGAGGTGTGAAACCTCAATAATGCTGTTGTTGTTATCCAGGTGTGTGTGTGTGTGTGTGTGTGTGTGTGTGTGTGTGTAAAACTCTGCACTTTACTATCTAATGAGAAAAGTGAATACTCTCACAAGCTTCAGACTCGTGGTGTTATAACATTTAAAAAAAATAAAATGATACATTTGTTACTTCCAAATGCCAACTTCGAACACACACACTTCTGATTGTGTCTTGCCATTTTACATTTTAAACAGCTGAAATGAGAACGGTCATCTCTAATCTAGTGATACTCAGACTGAGGCTCGTGAACCGCAAGTGGCTCTTTAATGTCTCCCTTGCAGTTCTTTGCAGCACGTGATATTAAAACGCTGTGTGATTTAATGATTAACCAATCAGGATGCTTTTATTATGTTGTTACCCAATTGTAGTGGATAAAAGAATAATACTTGGTCAGTTCATTTTGCTGTGAGAA